AACCGTAACGGAAACCGCCGCCGTTAAATTACCTCTGTTAGCAGCGAAGGTTATGGATAAAAAAGAGCTCGCGAGCCGGAGCAAAGAAGGAAGAGCTAAGACGGAGAGAGAGATTCTCGAATCTCTAGATCATCCGTTTCTTCCGACGCTTTACGCCGCCATTGATTCTCCGAAATGGCTCTGTTTGTTGACGGAGTTTTGTCCCGGCGGTGACCTTCATGTTCTCCGTCAGAAACAAACTTATAAACGTTTCCATGAATCCGCCGTCAGGTAACAGTTTCCGTTAAGTTATTAAAAAAAAATATTCAGTTTCTAAAAATATAATTCAAAAAAAATCTTTGGGAAGTAATAATTACGAAAGAAGTGAATAATATTTTTAAAAAAGCTGATGAAATCAGGGGGAAGTGGGACTCGTCCAGCTGGCGAATTGTCTCGTAGTTTAACACTTAACTGAATTTATGGTTCCGTTAATTAATCACTAATTTATTACCTTTTTAAACACTAATTATATCGTAATTATTAGATATATATCGTAATTACTCTCTTTTTTCATTAATGAATGGATTCAGTGTTAAAAAAAAAAAAAAGATATATAAAGTAAAATAAAATCACAAAGAAAAGATTTAAATTCCGTAATTTCTTCAGTAATTTTTGGCAGTTTTCAATACTTAACTATTCATAATGACTTTTGTTTGTTGTTGGAATTATGTTTTTTTTTTATAGATTAGACTAGAAAAGTCTATTTAGACCACACAAAAAAGGGACTAGAAAGTGTATTTTTAAAAATTTAAAGTAAAAAAAACCATAGAGATAAAGTGGTTATTTATTTATAATATATAGTTTTAAAAAACGCAATTATAGACTAATTATATAACATAGGCCCATTAAGTTTGTTACTTGTAATAATTTGTTTTTGGTTTTGGTCAAATTACTTGTAATAATTATCTTAGTGAAAATCAAACTTAAGCTAAAGTTTTATTTTCCGTAATTTTCGTCATAATTATATAACATAAGTGGGTAATGATTTATAATATATAGTTTTTAGAAAAGGAAATTAGAGACTAATTATATAACATAGGCCCGTTAAATTTGTAACTACTTGTAATAATTATTTTAGTAAAAATCACACTCAATCTAAAGTTTAATTTTCCGTAATTTTGTCATAATTATATGCTTTTTTCACGAATGTTAACGTATAGATTTTGTTATTGGAATATGGATTAGTGATTTGATTTGATGTGCTCGATAATGCCTTTTTTGAATAAACTAGGAAAAGTCTATATACTCCACACAATAAAGGGGCTAGAAAAGTGTATTTTTTATTTAAACCATAGAGTGGCTATTTTTGTTTATAAGATATAGTTTTTATTTTTATTTTTATTTTGTTATGTAAGCAGATGTACGCACGAATAACAAAAGTGTGTGTGTGTGCGCATCTTACTTGCATGTGTGCGTGTATCGTAGGGTATCATAATTTAGTAGTAGTTCTAATCTGGTGCGATGATGAAAAATAAAAAAGTCAATACTAGTGGGGTTTGACTTTGATCTCGTTACGAATCAGTTAAAGACACGTGTAAGTTTTGTAGTGGAACCAGGTGATTGAATTAAATCACGTA